GGCCTCGATCTCACAACCCTGAGGTCATGACCTGAGCCAAAATCAAGAGTCACATGCTTAACCAACTAAGCCACCCAGGCACCCCATAAGTTGTTCTAAATTATGGAAAAGGAGTAAGGGATTGGTTCTTTTTTCAAAGCTTCCAACATCTTTACAATAAAGGAAACTAGATGAGTAGCCCACAGAGCTAAGCTATTTTCCTAAAGGGAAAGTGAGAATGAAAGGTGGAGACCAACCATGGTGGCTGGATTGTCTTCCTAAACAGTATGTTTGAGCACACTCAGGTTAACCTACTTGTTGCTCCCGTTTCTGCTTCCGGAGCTGAATGCCCTCCTCCTCTCTTCTTCGTCTCATTTCCTCAGGGTTTAGGGCATTGTTCTTATAGCTCTTCATTCGATAATTGTCTTTCCCGGGGCTCGCCATGGTCTCTAGAAAAAGCGAAGATAACAAATACAAAAGCTTTTAAGAGGATAGCATTTCTTTTTCACTGGGCTTCTGTCCCTACCCAGCCTCCCAATCTCCCCTACTCAGGGGACCGAAGTTCCTCAAGGAGGCCTGATAATCTCAATAACTTAGCACCTGACATCTTATCTTTAAAACGGGGACATGACTTCCTACTTCATAGAGTTGTAAGGATTAAATAGGTTAATACCTGTGAAGTACTACTTAGAACAATGCTAGGCCATATGGTAAATGCTCAGAAGTTATGATCACCTCTATGACGAGAAAAAACTTGACTTGCCCGATAAACTCAAATATATTTAACTGAGCTAGGTGAAATACATTACAGCATATCTAATTCAGTGGAATACCATGTTCTTTAATAACCCATATGCCCACCATCTATTTTTCACATTAAAATTTAAACTTTATTCTGTAATATTTGATACATACAAAAAGATGAAACATAATGTTGTTACCAAGCGAAAAATACAATGAGCATCTGTAAACCCACCACCAAATCTAAAAACTAGAACATTATCAATATGTCTGAATCTTGTCAGCACTTACCCTGTCCCAGGCTCCTCCAGCCCCACTCCAACTCCAGCCAAAAGGAAACTGCTATCCTGAATTTCATTCATTTTGAGAAAACATCTGCCCAGTATCTAAGTCTGAATAACCAGTTTGTCTGTCAGTCATTCAAGTAAAAAAGTGTCAACTTTTTAAAAATATTCAAGTATAGTTAACATACAATGTTATATTAGTTTCAGGTGTACAATATTGTGATTCAACAATTGTATACATTACTCTGTGCTCATCAAGATAAGTGTGCTCTTAATCCCTATCACTTCTTTTATCCATTCCCCTGCCCACCTGCACCATCAGTTTGTTCCCTATAGTTCAGTCTATTTTTTGGTTTGTCTCTTATTTTTTTTTTTAAGATTTTTTATTTGTTTATTTGACACAGAGAGAGAGAGACGGCGAGAGAGGGAACATAAGCAGGGGGAGCAGGACAGGGAGAAGCAGGCTTCCCGCTGAGCAGGGAGCCCGACGTGGGGCTCGATCCCAGGACCCTGGGATCATGACCTGAGCCGAAGGCAGACGCTTAACGACTGAGCCACCCAGGCATCCCAAAAATGGTGTCAATTTAAAAAATGTCTAATTTAGCTAGTAAATTACCCACAGGTGATTTTCCTCCAGACACATTTTCAAAGGTTGGGTTTGTACTGTTTCATCAAGGACATTCTTAAGTGAAACTAGCAAAATTTTTTTTCCAACAGTGAGGGAGTTAGTGGCAAATACATGGACTACTAGTATAGTTTGGTGCCACTGTCTTGATTTGTGCTAAGGCACCAGAAATTTCACCCATCATTGCTTTTGAACTACTTCTGCAATACAAACATCAAAATGGTAAAAATTGGCAAATAACATTTTTAAATTTTTTCCCAGCTATATTGAGATATAACTGATAACATCATTTAAGTTTACAGTACACAAAGTGATGATCTATGCATAATACTGCAAGATGATTACCACATAAGGTTAGCTGACACATCCATCACCTCAGTTACTGTTTTGTGTGTGTGTGTGTGTGTGTGTGTGTGTGTGTGTGTGTGTGTGTGTGTGGTGAAAACATTTAAGATCTATTCTCTTAGCAACTTTAAAGGATATACTACAGTGCTGTTAACTAGTCACTATGGTATACATCAGATCCCCAGAACTTACTCACTTTACAACTGAAGTTTGTACTTGTTGACCACCTTCATTCATTTCCCCAACCACAGATTAGCAACCACCCATCTACAGTTTCTTTGAGTTTGGTCTTTTAGGATTCTACACATACACGGATTTATATTTGTCTTTCTCTTTTTTACTTATTATTTCACTTAGCATAATGACAAGATTCATCCATACTGTCACAAATAGCAGAATTCCTGGGGCCCCTGGGTGGCTCAGTCGTTAAGCGTCTGCCTTCGGCTCATCATGATCCCGGGGTCCTGGGATCGAGCCCCGTGTTGGGCTCTCTGCTCCGCGGGAAGCCTGCTTCTCCCTCTCCCACTCCCCCGCTTGTGTCCCCTCTCTCGCTGTGTCTCTGTCAAATAAATAAATAAAATCTTAAAAAAAAAAAAAAACAAAAAAATAGAATTCCTTTTATAGCTGAAAAATAGTCCACTGTTTATATATACATCATGTTTTCCCTATCCATTCATCTGTTGATGGGGCACTTAGGTTGTTTTCATGTCTTGGCTCTTGTAAATATTGCTACAATGACACGAGGGTACAGATATCTCTTTGACATAGTGATTTCATTTCACAGAAGCGGTACTGATAGGTTATATTTTTAAAATTTTGAGGTAGCTCCATACCCTCTTCCATAGTAGCTTTACTTAACATTATTTTTAAAAAAATTTTAAAGTAAACTCTATACCCAGTTTAGGGCTTGAACTCACCACCGTGAGATCAAGAGTTGCATACTCTACTGACTGAGCCAGCCAGGAACCCCTACCTACTTAAATTCTTACCAGCTGAGTACAAACCGTCCCTTTTCTCCAAATTCTTGCCAACACTTGTTATCTCTTGGGGTTTTTAAAGTTTTTATTTATTCAGTTAAGTAACCTCTACATCCAAGGTGAGGCTTGAACTCATTACCCCAAGATCAAGAGTTGCACATTCTTCCAACTGAGCCAGCCAGGCATACCTTACCTCTTGTGTTTTTGATAATAGCCATTCCAACAGGTGTGAGGTGGTACCTCACTGTGATTTTGATTTGCATTTCCTTGATGACTGGTGATGTTAAGCACTTTTTTCATGTACCTATTGGCCACTCCTATGTCTGGCTCTGGGGAAAATGTCTATTCAGGTCCTTTGCCCATTTTTAATTGGAATATTTGGGGTCTGTTGTTGAGTTGTATGAGCTCCTTATATATTTTGGATATTAATTCCTTATCAGATACATGGTTGGCAAATATTTTCTCCCATTCTATAGGTTGCGTTTTCATTTTGTTGACTGTTTCTTTTGCTGTACAGCAGCTTCTAAGTTTAGTTCAAGCTTTCTTAGTTTGATGTAGTCCCACTTGTTTATTTTTGCTTTTGTTGCTTATGTTTTTGGTGTCGTATCCAAAAAAAATCATTGCCAAGACCAAGGTCTTTTTTCCAATGTTGTCTTCTAGGAGTTTTATAGCTTCCGTTTTTACCAATTAAGTCTTTGATCCATTTTGAGTTGGCAAATAACATCTTAGTCTTCACTCCCCAGGCCCTCTGAAATATTCTGCAGATCACACTTTGAGAATTCTAAGGAATGAATTGCTGGGTTGTAGGCAGGTAAATGTTAAACTTGACCAACTAGCACCATGTTGCCTTCCACTGTGATACCAATTTACACTATCTTAGCAATACACAACAGGTTCCCATTGATCTTATTACTCGGAATTTTCACTTTTGCCAATCCCTACGGTGTATGGGGTATTTCACTGATAATCATTTGCACATCCCAGATTATTGAGGTTAGATTTTGTATTTATTAGCCATGTTTACCCTTCTCTGAAAAATCTATTTGTGTATGTCGAACATTTTTCTGTTGAATTATTTGCCCTTTTCTTATCAATCTGTAGCTCTTTAGATATTCTAGTTGTTAATCACTTGTGGGTTATTTGTGTTACAAATATCTTCTAGCACTTTGAAGCTTTTCAGTTTTTTCAATTTTTACTTTATGGAGTTCTTTAACAAGTTCTTAATATATATAATATATATATATACAAATATATATATTATATATATAACGTAGTTAAAATTTTCTTTTATACTCAGCTTTTTCTGTGTGTCTTGTTTATTAATAAATCCTTTCATGCTCCCCAAATCAGAAAGATAGCTTCTTATGTCTTCTAGAGGTTTTAAAGCTTGCCTTTTACATGCAAGTGTTTCATCTACCTGAAACTTAACTGCATATGAGATAGGGATTCAATTTCATTTTTTTCCATGTGGATAAATAATTGTCTTGGCATGGTTTACTGAACACTTTCCTTTCTCACTATGCCACTACTGTCATCAAGCAAATCTCCCTTTCTGACCAAGTCTAGTTGTTTTTTTTTAATTTTTGAAAAATTTTAAAAGATTTTATTTATTTGACACACACAGAGAATGCACAAGTAGGCAGAGCAGTAGACAGAGGGAGAGGGAGAAGCATGCTTCCAGCTGAGCAAAGAGCCTGACATGGGGCTTGATCCCAGGACCCCAGGATCATGACCTGAGCCAAAGGCAGACGCTTAATCAACTGAGCCACCCAGGTGCCCCCCCAAGTCTAGTTTTAGAATCTCTTGATCAATTTCTTTCTTGCCCCAACATCGTATTTTCTTTAAAAAAAAAAAATTATTTGTGGGGCGCTTGGGTGGCTCAGTCCATTAAGTGTCTGACTCTTGGTTTTGGCTCAGGTCATAATCTCAGGGTCATGGGATCAAGCCCCCTGTTGGGCTCTGCTTGAGATTCTTTCTCTACCTCTCCCTCTGCCCCTTCCCTGCTCTCTCTCTCTCTCTCTCACACACACACACACACTCTCTCTCTCTCTCTCTAACACAAATCTTTTAAAAAAAATTTTAGGGTGATGGGCATTAAGGAAGGCATGTGATGTGATGAGCACTCGGTGTTATGTGCAACTGATGAATTACTGAACTCTACATCTGAGACTAATGATGTACTGTATATTGACTAATTGAATTTAAATTAAAAAAAGATTTTATTTATTTATTTGAGAGAGAGAGAACATAAGCAGGGGGAGGGGCAGAGGAAGAGGGAGCCTGATGTGGGGCTTAATCCCAGGACCCTGGGATCACGAGCCAAAGGCAGTCAACTGAGCCACCCAGGTGCCCTGGCATACATCTTTGATCAGTTTAAAAAAGACCCTCGTATTCCTAGTTTTCTACACGTTTTTAATCATGACTAAGTGTTGATTATTATCCAATCCTTTTTCTGCATCTACTGAGATGATACGTGG